AATCCAGAAAGCCTTCGGATCTAACGGGGAAAGGCACGCACTTCAAGAGAGACATAACTGACTTAGCGACTGGTCTACTCGTTGTCTCCTAAATTTCGACGTTGGATAAAATGTGGTCCTGAGATTCCGACGACTAAAGGGGTAATTGTTTCCAATACCCACTATATTGGCAGTCCCTTTCAGATGTCGATGAAAGGAAGGACTCCTGTGTTTCAAAGACATTGCTTAAACCATCGTCAGAGGGATTAAAGTAGCGAAATCCTGCGATCCTACATTTAGACGCGGTTGAAACATTGAAATGCAGAGAAACTACCGTTCATTTAGACAAGACTGTATCGACGACAGGTGGTGCCTGATTTACTCATAACGAGGCCTGTGTTTTTCAGGATAAAAGTGTTCCAAAATAATTCGGTATATATGAGGGATATAGGCGGAGCCTTGGAAAACCCATTTTACAGATTGACGTATGAAAAAAACATGCAGATATTTACATAACAGTTATGCAAGTCATTGATATCATGTACATTTTTGACCATTAAGAATAAATTTATCTAATCTTCTTTTGAAGGTCTCAACGTTTTCCGCTAGAACAACGGAGTTCGGCAATTTGTGCCACCCTACAAACAGCCGGTTGGAGAAGAATTTGGCCCGCAATTCGAGTTTGGCATATGTTAGCTTCAATTTGTATTGGTGCTCTCGAAGATTTGTCGTCCGCGCCAGTTCGACCGAATCGACAAACTGAAGAGCGAAGTTTAGCTCCCGGACGATTATGAAGGCCATAATCATATCCCCTCAGTATTGTAACAGTATTGTATAATGACAGAGGCAAGAGGGCCTGGGATCGGGCTTCCTTGTTTATTAGCCGTCGTCAGCCAGGCATATTCGACGTAACTTCTGAATGACTTGAGTATTGAGTATGGATTTTTTCAGCAGTTGAGAGTTTTTAATTCTACCTCTTTGCCACCTACCCACGGGCCAGTTCACGTAACGTTCCGTATTTTAAAGATTGACAGCTCAGCAGATTGCCGAAGTCGTTGGGGTTTTCGACTTTGATAGCAGAGCGCAGATCCGCGATGCGAACTATAACCCCTGTAGCATTGCAGACGAAACGAACATATGCGAAGTTTTTTCCTATTTTTTAGCGTCTTAGTGTCGTTAACCTCCACGGAAACCGTAGGAAGGCCGTCAAGAACTGCAATACTTGTAAATAAATTGAGCGTGCCTATACACGATCAATTTCTTCGAACTTATAGCTAGGAATGATCCCAAAGTATTTATGTTTCGCTATATGTATATCCTTGTGTAATTTAGCGCGCTCATCAACAGGCATCTGAAGCTCATGAATCAAATTCATCCTGATATGAGCAACTGAAGTCAGTTTCGCCCAAAAGACTTGCTTCATAGCTGTAGGCTTTATTGACTGTACAGATCTTTAAAGATCTGTATGGAGATGTCACTTCCGTACGTTATTTTCGACAACGCAAGTCGACGCACTCCGAATTTCTTGACACAACACACACTGTCCAGCTCAGGAACTTGACTTGAACAAAACCTGCGGACGCATTCTGCTAAAATATGCCGTTCTATTCAGTAATTCAAATCTTAAATTCCCATTTAATCGTACCATTATGGGTTCGTTTGAACTATTTCAACCCAGGACATTTTTCAGTATACCACGAATTTTTACGTTGCAAATAGCGTACTCAAAGACTTAGGCCCATTTCCCTCAATAAACTAAACTGAACTGAGCTGCGGACAACTAAAATTCGAACATTGACAATCCAGAGCGACCTCTAGACGTACAGATGGTATTTTGGTTATTGACGTGACATGATTGGGGAGCAGCCGTAGCACCAAGCGCCGGTTAACAGTCCTACCTCGAGCACATCGGGTTTGCTTCTCATGATCTGCAGCGGTTCTACTGGTTTGAACTAACGGTGAGTTGTTCTATGCGAGTTTTACTGGTGAAAACTCATTGTTTTCGCAAGTCGTTTTTGATTGTCGGAATATCTCAGACTAAACTAAGAACTGTACGTGTAGTTCTTATTTTAATCTTATTTTTTATCAATTGGTATTGTTCATGAACAAGACGAGGGTTCTATCTCTAACACTCTAGTGACCTAGGCTGCGCTTTATCCATTACCTCAACTTGCCCTCAAAGCCAACCTCGACGACATTGTTTCCTGTACTTCTCTGTGGGTGGCGATTAGTGACACTGGGGCTGGAGACCTCTACAAAGACCAAATTCCGGCGGTCCAAAGACCACCGTCTCTTGACAGACGGTGTTGACCAAAATGCAAGTGGAGTATCTCCTTGCTGCGCTCAGTTGGGTAGAGATGTTGGGTGGGGCATGAAGAATGTGCCCAAAATGTCTCGCCAGCCCTTCATGACAGAACCTGTATATCCTACAGTTAGTCATTGCGAGTAAGAACTGTGTCATTTGATAAAAAGTTGTTGTACTTCGAGTGAATTCTCCCGAATGATTGTTCTCCAGTAATAGCGTTCGCAACCCCCAGTTTCCTCTCACATTCCGGCGTTCGCAGCCAGAGAAGGAATGACCATAAGGACGTCTGCTACCTGTAGATGTCTCTGTTGATTCTAAAGTTGTGATAGGTCTGCTAGGCTTGCGTGGACCCGACCTACAGCCTTGATTTTGACGACGGTTTCGTCCTCCCACAACCGTTTTAACAGCAGGTTGACTTAAAAGTATTTGAAACGCTGCTCTCCAACCTGATGACCGTCGGTGACGAAAGGTGCATGCTTCTAAACATGAGCACAGTTAGATGATAGTTTTATTTTCACAAGGTTGCAGGACAAACCGACCGATTTAGCAACCTCTTGTAGCTGCCGAGGACGTCAAGGATAGCACACACACCAATGTAAGGAGACACTGAAAAGAGATCCTGGCGGAGGTAGATAGGAAGGATGATTTACAGCTGTAGAATAACCTGTCTGGGTAAAGAGGCGATACTGACATGCCAGCTAAGTAACCGGTGGGGAATGCAGCGCTGTGGGCAACTGCAGGGGAGGGCCGAGGGAGGTGCCGACGTAGAGCAGAGGAGAACGATACGGAAGTCACGGTACGATGCGGGGAAGGGGTCGGCAGAAGTGTGAGGAAGGGTCACCGGTCATCTTCACCAGCACGCGGTTGCACCATCTCCACCCTAGGTCCGCGCGCCGAAAAAGTGTTACAACATTCAAACAATCCTGTTCGTGCCAATGGGTGTTACACTCTCTCGCTCAAGACCATACCTGCTGTGGACCATTATAGCGTATGACTAGCCGAGCAAGATAGTTGACTCATTTGAGGTTGGCGTAAATTATACGCAGAGAGCTTCCGAGAATCCATTGAGTGATGTTAAACAGAATGGTCAACAGAATGCAATCTTGTCTGACTCCTGGAGATTTAACAGTTAGGCCTGTTTGCCCTAGTGACAACTCCCGCACTGGAGACGGTGGACTTGAGGGCATTCGCTACTTGAGTCGAGGAGGAAATTGAAACAGCAGAACCATTTCACGATGATAGTCAACAAAGGCGACAAGAGCAGTGGAGGGGGTAGCAAAGTTGAACCGAGGCGGATATTTCCTATATTTGCTCCCTGTAGTCTAGAACATTAGCAAACTTCCCTGTAGTTACTTGTCAAAACGTATAATGATGTTAAAAGAAGAAGACTACTGTGACAGGTGTAGTCTACAGTTGCACTACAGTTTTAAATCTTATGAAATCACGATAGCAATCATGTGGTGACTTCTTCGGAACTTTGGTGCAAAGGATACAGTCGACCTATGCCCCCAAAACGTGCCAATTCTCGCATTCTTTAGGGACTGCAGCTCACATTACCCATCTTTAAGGTTGATTGTTGTGGGGTTTGACCGAACCCACGCAGGCCTTGACGGAGACTAAAAGTACTACGATGAAAATGGACTTTTATCCACCTTACCTATTTTCGCTAACAAACGACAAGGGCGCCTACGAAGATCCGTGCGAGTCTCCAGAGGAAAGCTCCCTTCAGGAACTGGAAGTGATCTGTTAAATGGTTGTTTTCTCCAACAAATCGCACATGTGGAAATGCTCTACGTAGATATTCTTTGCAAGCAAACGGTCTACGTGCGGCGTAGTTTCCATTCGAAGCTCTAATTTTCCCACTCGCGCCATCATTTCGAGGGAGACTGCTGTGTTTTTGTAAGGCGCATCTGGAGTCCATTCTCCTTGTATATTTTAAGTATGAGTGTTTTGGCTTCACTTCTCCTGCTTGTTTATACACATTTCTCCCTGACGGCGAGAAAATGCAGCCTTACCCCTCCCAGTGCCCATTGTCAAACTTCGCGTCTTAACCCCTCTCCCCAGATCCCATTGTTATCCAATATCTTTTCTACTAGCAGGTCCCTGGCAAACGCAGTCCGTGAAAATTCCTTTCCTACTAAAGGCTGCTTCGATGAGTTTATCGGGCATTGCCCTATCCTTGTTTTCGTCCCTTAGGATAAAAATATTTGACAAAGGCGGGCAGTCAACGTTTTGCGCTAAATCATTAACGATCTGATTGTCTGGCGTCTGTCCTTTCGCTGTAGTCGACTGCTCGGCATGATTTTTTAATAACTTATCCTTTTAACTTGATTTATGCGCACCAGAACCATCCACGAACTTATGTTCATGGCTAACTACTTCACTTTCACTTTCTCATGCAGTAATCGCAAACCGTTCACGGAGACTCGAGTCTTCCCTCAAATCCTGGTCTGTTTCATCAATTATCAGTGGTGTATCGCGTCTTTCTTTTTCATCAGAATGGTAGATGACTTCGAAGGGTTTCATGTCGGGATATAATGGTGGATGTTGTTGTAATTGCAACGCGGAAAGGGACGTTGACGAAAAGGGCTTTCAAACCAGCCATCTAACATCCAGAAACAATCTGGTTATTTCACTAACAACCTAATAATACAGTTTTTCCCCGCCCTCATTGTTCTTCTTCATTGTGACGCAACTGAGGTTTTCCTTTAGAGCGATGAAGCCGGGGACTACTCGATCCAGGCTCCCAAGGAAATGTCGCCTCCGAACGGTTAATGCAACCAGTTCTCCCTACTTCGATGGATCACCGCCCCGGACACCCACTAGTGACGCTGATTTTGAGCCGCCTCCCGATCTTCCCAAGAAGTCTTCAAAGGTCCGAGGAAGGCGGAAAAACGCTGAAAGGACGCCGAACTCGTCCGTGCCCAAAGAAACGGCAGTTATTAAGACGGCCGGTGAAGGTAATGAGGCGTCTGACGACGACTGGGATAAAGTGCCGGCCAGAAAAGACCGGAAACAAAAAAATAAAACTAGGAAGCCTAGACGCACGAACCAAGCGGCCCCAACCACACAGATTACGACCAAACCTGAGCCGAGTCGGTCCGCCAGCTCCAGCGAGGAAGAGGGGGAGTGGGAAGAGGTAGTCGAGACTTCTTCACCCCGGGCACCCCCACAAGAGGTAGAATTCATGAGCCAGCTTCTGACAGCCACAAAGCCTCAACCAGGCTCCTCCAGTGAAGAAGAGGATGACGAAAATCTCGTCGTTTCAGTGTCCATTGGAGCTGGTGGCAGGCAGGCCAAGTCTCTTGATCCAAAACTGGCGGCAGCCATGCTGAGGGCGAGGCGACTTCGCGAAAAACGCTACGCGAGACATGTCTGCCACCTTTTGTGTCTGTTATCCCACGCACGTGTCGCTAACTTAACCTGCGACAATGACCTCATCCGTGGCCTGGGCCTTTCTTTGCTAACTAGTGTTGAGGAGGTTCGTGATAGTCTTCGTCGCGTTCTGCCTTCCAACAATTGGGGTCTGAGCGATCTTAGGCTTCTTTTACTTGCATTTGTTTGTCACATCACCGCCACTGCTACCTCCACCACCGAGTATACCAGCCTTGCGGAGGCTATCGACAGTCGACTTCAGGCGAGACAGTCGACGCTGAACGATGTGACTGTCCTCCTCGTTGCAGCTCTGCGCACCATCGGCCTGGATACCAGACTTGTCTGTGCGCTCCAACCTCTTCCCCTGAAATTACCCTCTGCGCTACGCAAAAGGACAAAAAGACCATCCACTTCTCCCTCTGCAACTCGCAAGAAACTGAAACCGTTGGGACAGTCCGTGAAAAACGACAAGATCTTATCTGCTTCCTCCTGTGGAAGCGCCGAAAGTGACTGTGAGGGGCACCTAGAGGACGCAGCTCAGGAGGCCTCTCTGGTGTTCTTTGCGGAAGTTTTTCTGCCTTCCACTGGCACATGGGTTGGTATGAATCTGCAGCCACCAGTAGGCAGAGTTGATGCGGATTTCTTTCAACTGCCATTTCCCTACGTGGTAGGCTTTGCCTCTAATAAGCCGGTTTTCGAGTCCTCGTCATCAATAACTTACCCCTATACTGGCCGCTTCCCCCTCGACCTGGCCTCTCGTTATGACCCTCAATGGTTGTCTGGTTCACGAGCTAGCCGTATTGCTGACCCCCTATGGAAAGAACTGTTAAATCAAATGAAGGGGTACTGCGATGCAGACGCCGCTCTGTTGGGAGGTCTACGTGCCAAAGAGCCGACTATGGAGCCGGAGGTTCGTGACGCTGTCGACGCTGAGCGCATCCAGAACTGTCTACGTCAACAGCCCTTACCTAGACGGGTGAGCGATCTGAAGAATCATCCACTCTACGTGCTGAAACGTCACCTTCTCAAGTTTGAGGTCATTCACCCGCCAGATGCGCCCGTCGTGGGTTTCTTGAAGGTGGGCAAGTCGGACGCATTGGGGGAGCCAATTTTCTCGCGAGAGTACCTCTACCTATGTCACACTCGGGAGGCCTGGCTGAAGGAGGCTAAGGTAGGTCGTACCCGATGCCTTATTTTAAAGACCCACTGAATTATGTTGACGAAACTCTTACTCACGGCGCAGCAAGCTTCCTCTAACTAATCCAGATATGTTGGATTGCCCGTTAATAAATAGCTCTAAAGCTAGATGGAACGCCGGTATTTCGCCCTGCAATTGGGTCTAATCGCTGCTTTTCGATGTTACTTAAAGCGGACCTCGGGGGTGAACCCGTGACCGAACTCGTAGTGTCTAAATTAATTTTAAACTGAAACTGGACGCTTCGGATATTCTAGCTCGGGCTTGTCTTGTTGATGTCTTCAGCATAACGTCGAGCTGATGCCCACAGATTTGCGTAATTACAGTGAGTGACCGATCTCATGAAATTCAGAAATGCGTTTCCGATTAGGAAGGATTGCTTAGGTGGGGTTGTAATATTGTTTATCCCGCGGCATAATCCTATGGTATTTCTGACTCGGCAGGATGTGGACTTTTAAATGCATATCTTTTCACTCACCTGCTGATACCGTACTCGGTAAAAAATGACTACTTATGTAGCGTACATTTTCGACACTTATTTCGGTGGTCTTATATATTCAAATATATTTTACTAAAAAGTGAACGAAAATATTCTTTATTTCACTCGTTTAATAGAGAATCACGTCATCTTCATATTTTATATCCGAAGAAAGAGTATAATTTGGTTTTAGAAAAGTTTTCTAATTGCCGAATAATTTGGAGCCTGATCCGCCGTTGCATTAGCGCCAAGTGATTTCAGTTTACAAGGTGCACGCGTTCCGCGTAAGGAAAATCATGTATTCTTCTATGCCTTTAAAAAGATGTCGTATGGAGTCCATAAAATTTTGCAATGGATGCGGACTATGATGTACATTTAATGAGGAGCAGCGGTAAACGGACAGGTACGATGCTGTTTGAATGGACATTGCACAGTCTTGAAAAATCCCATAATTTGAAACTTCTTAAAAATCTACTTATACTCTTTCTTCGAGCATAAAATATGAACATGACGTGATTCTCTATCATACGAGTGAAAGAAAGAATATCTTTGTTCCCTTTTTTCATAAAATATAGTTGAATATATAAGACCACTGAAAATAAATGTTAAAAAAGCATGCTACATAAGTAGTCATTTCTCCAAGTGATTGAAAAGAAGTGCATTTAAAAGCCGACATCCTGCCGAGTACGAAGTACCATAGGATTATGCCGCGGGATAATCAATATTACAACTACACCTAGGTAATCCTTCCTAATCGAAAGTGCATTTCAGAATTTTGGCCAACATTTCATGAGATCGGTCACCCACTGTAGATTTGACTCACCCAGCACTGGATGGAAGCTTCTGTAACTCCCCTTAATGGATGTCTGTGGATTAACAGCAAGTTTTAGGGCGTAAATAGGGCTGGTCACAATTCTTATATTAGGCCCCCTAGGAACCAATATGTGAACTACCGCTTGATATTGTTGAATATGCAAATTATAGAATTCCTGCGACAGAAACGATCTCTCATTAGTAAGAAATGGCTACTAAACTAGTCTACACATTCTGTACATTTTGGTGCCTAAATGAAGGTAACTTTTCCTAAAGAAATCTGCCTTTTTACAGTTATGGAGCGGAGATCTGCAGCATCTCAAACGTTGGTGTTTGAAGAAAAGAATATGTTTTCTTTGAGAAGATAAATTTGGAAATCAACGTTTGTGTATCCCAGGTTTTAGTTACACCAGAGTGGCGTATACGATCTATCCTGTTTGCATTACGGAAATGAGCATTTCCACCCTGCTAAGGGGCGCAGGCGTTCTCATGTCGACCAGCTGCCATGAAACAACCCATTTAGCGTTGCTCGATGCGCAGCAGTCTCGGGGTTCGAATCACGGATGTGTGGCCCTCGGGGATTCGGGTATCATTGGCTTATGATGGCAGATAAGCCGGAAATAGCCACTACAGTGTCTCTCTCTCTCTCTCTGTCAGTGAACACTCCAGTTTTTTTATGTTGGTGTCCGGATATCGACAAGGCTTTGTCCGGCATCCCCACTGGATTAATACCGTATGATTAGCCTCTTAAAACAATTTTACCAATTGTGATTACGCTGAATTTACACCTATCATGTGTTTGCGCCTTCCTTACTATGTTAATCCAGCGAGTGACTGTGCCTGGGGGGGGGGGGGTGTTTATACGCCATCCTCAGTTACATCAGGTATCAGTTCACACGCTCTCCCCGTTGCATGCCTCGCGCCCTTTATTATCCTAATCCAGCGACTAGCTAAGTATGCTTGCTAATGGCATTGTTCGAACGGAATGGAGTTCAGTCGGCTCCACTATAGTGGCCATGCACCACGAATTAACACGCGGTCCCCTCTTTGCCTTTCTAGTTGTGATTAGGCCCTCCTTAACCTCGTAGTCCTGAGAGCGGTTGTTTCGCGTGGAGTGTGTACACGTCACATTCGGCTCACACGCGCTTCCCTGCGCATGCTTCGAGCTCTGCGTTCTTCCTTTCCTAATCTACCGAGTGACTAAATTAGGTATGTTAACTGAAATTGTTTGATGATATCAACCAAGTGGGGCTAAAGGACCAAACCTCGCCGGGATACCTTTCGTACAACAGCATGTAGGGACTTTTGACATCGCCTCCCCGGGAGAAGCATAGCTAGTGGTTCACATGATCAGAGGAACGTGTTCCGATTTTAGTGCAAACTGCGCATTCTTGTCTCTCCGCCGATATTCTATTCGTGCGAAGCATTCAACTATGGCGTACCATCCGTTGTTCATTACCGCCTGAGTGGTTGTCGCAGTTGCGCAGGGAATTTTCCACATCTGCGCCACTGGCTCTCGATAAATCCACCTAGATCGTGCAAACCATAACTTCTTCGTCAGCCAAAACTGACTAGACTAGGACTCCCGGCCAATGATTGCTCTGATTGGCTTGGTGGAGAGATGGAGGTCTTAATCCACCCCTCGGGTTCCAGGACTGTTTTTGGCAGTGGGGCAGGTTTTATGGCGGACAACACGCGTGATGTCCTTCCCTTAAGACCTGTTGCCGATTTTTCAAGATTGTTATTTAACCACACCTAAAGACGTTATCACTGTGACGAATTATTCTTATTGCACGCGAACCTGCCATCCCAATCTGAAGGCCTTTTCATAATCTAGAAGCAGTAGGTGTCCGTATTTGCGGCACTGTTGGCCCTCTGGACTGCTGGTCTATGGACTTATAAGACCCGGTAAGCTTAGTTGTTGGCGGTGTTATAGCCAGTTGAACTACCGCATTCGGGCATGATCACAAGTGATCAAAGACGAAAAAACAAACAGGATTCCTGTAGTAAGACCTTATCTGTGTCCCCGTTGTTTTTTAAAAAAAGTACCCTATGGTCAATCCAGTGACTTTTTTTCTAGTTGTGTCAATGTAAGCGATTTTGGCCCATTTCAGCCTACGTCTCCCTGCATCGTATATAGGTAGTGCGCATCGGTGAGAAACCGGCCAAGGTTGTGAAGGCTCTCATGTCGATGAAACGGAAGCTACTGTGCGATGCCGGTGGTCCGCCACCAACGGTAGAGCTCTTCGGACCCTGGCAGGTTGAGGACTACGTTCCCCCAGTCGCGCAGAATGGCGTTGTGCCGCGCAACGAGCATGGAAACGTAGAACTCTTCAAGCCCTCAATGCTGCCTATTGGTTGCGTTCACATCTGTCTCTCAGGTTAGTCATCTGCGATGCAGCCCAGGTTGTATTTTTTTGACAGGGAAGTTAACCCTGCTGTTAAAACCTTCCAGACATCCTGTTTGTGGGAGTCGCTTTTGTGCAAAGCTTTGGACGCTGACCATCTAAACTGCAACGTTCGCGGACTTTCGGTGGTTCTCACAGGGCGCTAGGCCAATCAGAAGTAGTACTTATCGGTTTTATTCAACAATATGATAGATTTAATTTAGTGGCCACTGTGTAGAACAGGAATTTTCTTCGTTGAGCAAGGCTCACAGTCATACGGCCTCCAAGAAGAAACATGGGAAACCAGCTAAAAGTGTTCAGATATGAACAGCTGCTAAATGCAGAATTCAGCATCGATTAGGCATCAGTTGCTGAGATTACGGTTTAATAACTTGTTTGGTCACCTTAAAGCAGTGCAGAAAAGCAGTCGAAAGTCCACGAACGCATAACCGGGGCTGAAATCAGCGACCGGTTCCTGAACGCACAGTTTAAGTCTCATAGGACAATAGAACATTTGGTGGTGGGTGGAAGATTAGAGGCTCAATATTCAGGAATGTGGGAAAAATATAATTCCCGTCTCAAAAAAACAGAGAACCAAGGGAAGAAGCGAGGCAGATCGAAGCACAGCGGTTATTGTAGAAGCCAGTGAACAGTGCAGCCCATCTTTATGAAAAGTGACGTCTTTCGAGTTGGTCGGATTGTCTGTAAACTGGAGTACCCCTGATCACAACTGACCTTGCGCGGATCCTTGGTTCGTGTTATGTTGGACTGTTCACTTGAAGAAGGAGACACGATCGCTGGGCCAAGAGCTTTATTAGCCTGATATTTCGGATTCCTGCTCGAACCCATCATCAGAGACAACAGCAGATACGGATGATTCACGCACCAGGGACTGCAGTATTTATTGGATGCAGTCGCCATGCTACCGCATTCCTATGACGACTTTGAATACCCGTCAGAGGTATTGTAGTTCGGCAATCTTGTCTTCCGGCTCACTGCAGTGCGTTTCGACACGCTTCTATTGAACTGTTCACTTGTTTTTATACAGGGATCCGATCTTCACACTATCGAGACGAGTCTCCAACCCGGCCACTTCTAATTTGACCAAGCGACCACGCAAGCAACTAGCGTTGCTAACAGCCCTCATGGGTTTGCCTCAGCATTTGCGGTTGATTTTGTTTCGGCGTGTACAGATTCGTTGGGACTGATCTAACTTCCGACGAAATTTTTGTCCTGAATGAAGTTGCCTCACCGAAGCTGACTGCGAACCCACCATCGCACAGTCGTGGATGGACTACAAAGGATAACACCTCTGGTTACCACGCAGAACAGTGTTGATTTGTTATCAATTGTTGCAAAGGACCAATTGGGATTCCGACAGATCTCAGATGAACGTCTAAGTTATCAGGCGCTTTCTATATACGTGCTGTCGCATCACCATTGACCGACATCTTACCAACCGACTTGGAGCCTCAGGGGCAATGATTACACCGTCTACCAGTGTTGCCTAGTCCGAGTATTCAAAAAATCGGTGGGCGTCCAGTTGGCCTTGCTGATTGCTGTCGCATTTCCATGGGAATACGCCAAGCCAGCCGATCCTGCGCAAAGCCATCCGAGGCTGTGAATGGCTGAGAGGAATCTTCAGGATGTCCTTAGGTCTTTAACCGACAGTCCTCGGTGCGGCGTCTTTGCTCAACGCTCTTCCCACCTCACCATCAGTATTCCTCAGAGACAACTGTTGTGAATTGGTGGTCTTGCCTGGCCTTCGTACACTCTTCATGCCTCTTACTTACTTGTACGTGATACGGCTGCGATCATGCCTGACCTAGCTGGCCCCGATGTTGCCTCCGTCTCGTACAGAAGCACGGTCTGGACGCCAACCCCATACACCCAAATTTCCACCCTGAGGGGAATATATCTAATTTCAAGCTGGGAGTTGCAGCCTGCGGAAGCTCTGGCTGACCAAACAATTTTGCCGTCGATCCTGATATTCCTTGAACCGTTACTTCCAGGGTGCGCGAATTCGTTCACAGGCGGGCTGCGACTCCCGTTGACACTTACCGTAAGCTTGTTGTACTCCAAAGTAGACACTGGTTAGCACATGGCCACTGTCTTCTCTGTGCTGTGTATGCCAGTCAGAAGCCTGAAGGCAAAAAGGTTTGCGCTCCATTGCACCTCAACTTCGGGCGTAGTGTTCAGCGTGCCGTCGTCAGCGAGTTAGAGGTCTCGGACACTGACCTTGGGTGCTTTGGGTTCTGCGCTCATGAGTCAGTGTGGGTTCGAGGGTTGATGTTGATTCCAGGTCGTTCCTCATAGTAGGCGTCCATCAGCATGATGGAGAACATGAGGCAGAAGAGGGTGGGAGCGAGCACACAGCCAAGATTCGTTCCATTCGTCACCGCAAGTGTTTCCGAGACTGATCGATTGTTCGTGACATGGCCATCATGCCCCGGCTCAATTATCTGGCTGTCTGCGTAAGTCATTCCGGACACCCGAATTGCAACACATTTTTTCAGAGTTGACTCTGTTTTGCCGTGTCGAAGGCAGTTGTCAGATAAACAAAGGTGTTGTATCGGCTGGTTCTGTTTTCTTGAAACTTCCTGCCTTTGGAGTGTCGCAAATATCATTTTGGTAGTTCCGGAGTGTTTCCGAAATACGCATTGCGATTCTGAGATGAGGCCCCCCTGCTCCAGGTATGTCATCACTCGATTTAATGGCAAATATCTTGCCAGTGATGGTGAAAAAAGAGATTCGTCGGTGGTTGTCACAGGTTTTGCGGTTTCCTTTGCTGCTGAATAGATGAACAGTGGGTGAATACCTAAAATCCTGTAGAATTTATCTTTTTAGCCACGTCGCTTAGCACTGTTAGTTTAGGTTGTGTATGAATTGACACTGTAAATTGACGCTGTAAATTTCGCCTGGAATTAAGTCGACCACCAGAGATTTTCTACTGAGTGCCTTCTGTGGAGAGGACGGGCGCTCGAGGTTTCCATTCCACAAAGCCTGTTGATAACTTCCTAGCTGACTAGAAATGGGCCTTTGGAGGCGCCCCTCTAATGCCGCACCCCACACCCTCCTCTCTCTCCCCCAGAATAGGCGATTTCTCGGGTGGTCGTATTGCGCCTCTTGGCTTAAGTAGCCAGGAAGACCCTTTGACGTTAGCAATAGTAAGAGATCCGGGTTGATAATCCGAGAAAAATGAAGTGCTCACCGGATCGAGGGACTTGTTTGGCTGACGTTCCGAATAGCTGGGGCGGCTGTCTATTATCAAAGCCGGACTAGTTGGCCTTGCGCTGATCGATTTTTTTCTCTTCTTTCGCTGCCTTGGCCTACTGGCCGTCGCTTGTGAGTGTTGGTGGCCTCCTGCATTGTGTGTCGTCATCTCAATTGGGGTTAGTTGCGTTTGCGTCCCCCTTTTGGGTGAATTGGTTGACAGACCGTGTTTACTCGGTAGTCTTAGGCTCCGTATGACTGTCTTGTCTTCAAAGCAGGCATGGACAGCAGAATTTATTGGTACCAGTAAATTTCGCGACGACTTCTCAACTGCTGTCCATGCCTGCTTTAAATTCATTCCGGGGAAATATTGCGTCAAGTGACTTGTCTTCGCCACGGCGTGTGTAGTGACGTAAGACTTTATAGACCAAGGAAGGTCTAGATGCCTGTTGATGGAGTTGGCATCAGAGTACCAAGCCTCAAGTGTGAGACGCTATGTCCTTGAGGCGTCCCTGTCTAAGACGGCTGCTCCTTGAAAATCAAAACTGTGACCAGTTTCCCCGATGTGAGCCGCAAGCTATGAGTTTAGGTCTAGTGTCCGAGTTGCCAGTTTGTGCTCATGTAGGCGGGTCTGCAATTTCCGTTCGGTTTCCCAAACGTAGTTGCAGTCCCCATCGGTACAAAGTATTTAAAAGACAACGGCTGAGGGTTCAGTAGGTGGCAGTATGTCTTTGGGTTGCACCAAACGGCGGCGAATTGTTGCCTGGGGTCGATGGGCAATGCCTACCCTGGCGGGTTGTAACAGTCGTGAAACCGCCTCAGAGACTCCTTTTATGTAAGGAATAGCCCTCCAGACTTCGGGTTGTTCTTCTTGTGGCCGACGTCTGTTTACTCGGCGCATGCTTTGTTTGATGAAGTAGCTTGGGCATCCATTGGTTCGAAAGAGGTCATGAGGGTATTGTCGTTCAACTCTTTTGTCGGCTGGTGTGTTGCAGTTTGTTTCAACTCTTTGGAATAGAGTACGGACACAGTTGTGACTTGATGGTCATAGACCGCTTTGATGGCCACTATGAACTTTTCCATTTGTTCGTGATCTGCATATTTTTGGTTTCTTCTTGCATGTCAGTTAGTCATTTCGCATCTTCCTTGGTTCCTGTTGCACTAGACTTCTGCATACTAAGAATACGGCTCTGTTGTTGACATCGCTTTTATACAGCCTGTTTTTTTCGCGAAGTATGTAGATGTCTTATGTCATTGTTCTAGTCAAATCTGTCCTCCCTCTGTCAAAGTGTGTATCCGATGCATTGTCCTGGAGAGTTTACCGCGGTTTCTTCTATTTACCCCCCCCCCCCTCCCACAGCAGCCTCCTTAGTTTTACGGGCTTGCATTCTATGCCGCCTGATGTTCATATGGTTACTAAGAACCAACATGCGTTCAATTCGATCCACTGTTTAGGTGTCTAACTTCTTTGGGACCGCTATTGCTGATGGACATCATTGCCATGTCTGGCGTCCTTGTTCAAGGCCCCGTTGAGTTAAAGTCAGACACCATCGCAGCGAGCGGGTCCGGGCGCACCGATGTGCAGCAGCCACTCGACCGACTTCAACTCGAACGCACGTGCGTCCGTACAGGGTCGCAGCTGCCCATGCGCCACTTGAACTCACCATCCCCCGACGAATGCAACAAAAGCCACTTGAACACCACCCTAGGACAAATGCAACACACACACTAATTGGACACCACTTGAAATTGCCCCACAAACCCACTAATGCAGCTGCTACCACTATGCCAAGGACTCTCAGGCATGACTGAACGCAGCCCTGGTTTCGCCAGTGGCCACTGCCGCCCGTGAGGACCACTCAGGGTCCTGCATACAATAAACCCCTCATTCTGGTGACTTCAGCCTTCCCCTACCATAGGGGGATTTGACCTGATGATTGTAGCGCCCTGCGTACACACTCCCTCCGCTTAGGCGCTGCACTTTCTTGCCACAAGGTCATCCGTGGGGTTCGAGTTTCGACCTCAGGCGGCAAGGCGGTGGTTTTGAAGAAGGAGATGCAATCGCTGGAACACGAAGTTTGACGTCCTGACATTTCGGATCCTCCCTCGAACCCATAATTAGACACAGTTGGGGAAAAGAAGGTATAGTATAGGGTGCGGTTGCCAGGCGACCAAACGCCTACTATATTTAGTAGTACTCGTGTTCATCGCTTGTTGTTCCTTACCCGAGTCGTTAATTGCCATGCTTCCGTCTGCGTTGAAGATTCTTGGCCTGGCGATTACTCGGCAACTTTACTCGCTGTCACAGTGATTACTGGTCACACGCACCCTCCCCGCATGGCTAGTAACTTTGCCTGGGCAAAATCGCAGCACAGAATATAGAGGCGAAAGGTCATTGCCCCTGTTTATGGGATGTGGGCCGGAGAACCACGACTCAAGCTGCTCACGGCCCACGTGGTTGTCACCTCTTGAGAGGATTTCGGCTGGGTCCCACTGTGTACCTCTGCACCCTATTGCCCTTCCCTGGGACTGCCTGCGGATGGGTTCGATTGAGAATCCGAAACGTCCGGCCAATAAACTTCTTATTCCGGTGATCGCATCATCATCATCATCATCATCATCATCATCATCATCATCATCATCATCATCATCATCATCATCATCATCATCATCATCATCATCATCTGAACTGCTTTCTGGAAGTCACCCGTTCGCTCCTCTCAGCAAGGCGGTGGTCTCTCCAGCCCTGAGCTCTGCACATCGTCCTTGTCACCGGCGCATCAGACTGATCACGCTTGGTGGCGAGGGCGTAATCAAAAACTCACCAGTGGCGTGAACGAGGTTGCCTCCGCTTTGCCTTCTCCCACTCTTGAGTTTATAAGGTATTTGTAAGGTGAAGGTTGTGCACTGTGTATACCTACAGCAAAAGGACGCCGTTGACACTGCTGCTGCTGGTCCCGTTGCCACCTGGCATTTTCTTCCGATCTGTCACAGCCGCAGATCTTCGTATTAGAGCCCGACTGTCGCGAGCGGAGACGTTCATCATGCACTCCACGGAGTGAACGCAGAACTAGTGAATTGTGCGTGGTGAGGCATACTTACACACTATACTGTCACGAATGGAAGAGAATATACTATATCCTCTCCTCCCTCACCCACCAGACTTCGATATGTCAAGACGACAGGTGGTGGCCCTGGGCGGCTGAACAACCCGTCTACACGTGCCACAGGGGTTCCGATCTCACCTACGCGGGAGTGCCATGAAGGCCGTACTGAGGAGCCATTAACGTCTAGCTGCGGGTCGTCCCCAAGCCAGTCACTCCACGTACACTCACAGTACTGACCACGAGGGCTGAGCTATCCCGTCAACTGGCGGCTGCCAAAGTCACTACTTTCGGTGCATCGTAGTGGCTCCAAAGCACGTCATATTTGTTATAGTGAGGAATACGCTGTATCGGCCCTACTCTCCCTTTCCTTACTCGCTCCCTACTTAACCGTCCGGGCCTGCCAATCATCCGTTGTTGTTATTGGGCCCAGTGGCTGACAAAATCCATGTGTAATAAGAAAGCGTGATTGCAGTTGAAATTGAGTCCACATGTCAAAGGAAGAGGGGGCGGCAAGTCGACAAAGCGACTGGAGAATAGTCACATTTGACGTTGTCTTTTATATTGTCTTTTTCATACCATCCACCTCTCGATTACAGCCACCCCCGCTCCCCCTCTCTCCGGTCCTCTCACCTGTAGGCATCCAACATATCGCCAAACGTCTGGAAATCGACGCGGTGCCCGCCATGATCGGATGGTCCTTCCATGGCGGTGGTTGGGCGCATCCCGAATACAACGGCTTCGTTGTCTGCAAAGAGTCCGTGCCCGCGCTCCTTGATGCTTGGCGTGCGGACAACATGAATAAGGCCAAGGCTGCCGCAGCTGATTGTACTGAGCGTGCTCTGGCTAACTGGCGCCGACTCACACGCCATCTGCTGCTGTGGCAACGAGTGGAGGCGCGGTTTCAGCTAGCTCGGACTTCTGTGCTAGGGCCTAGCCGCGCACCAACACAGTTGGCGTCGTCCGCTCGGACCTCTCGCGGGGCTCGACGCGCCCGGGCCGGAAGTCAACGTGCCAATGGGCCTGCACCACCCCCACCAACACAAGCAGCCAATGGTGGGGGTTGGCAGCGGCTGAATCCCGGCGAGGAGTCTGTCTTCCCTCGCCTCCTCGAGGTGGCGGCTCCGGCCCAGTCTCGTCCCCCATGCCGGCCTCCCCGAGGAGCTGCCGGCTTGAAGCGACAAACCAGAGGAAGGACAGGCGCCTCCACGAGGGGACGACGCCGGAGGACGCGGAGAAAGGCGTCCTCGTCCTCATCTTCTTCTGAGGCTGAGGACCAGATGTCCTGGGCAAGCGATTCCAGCACTTGAGACACGTGAGTTGTGACCCTCCTTCCCACGTTCTCTGCCGTGGAGCTTGACGGTGGTCGCGATGAGGGCAGGTAGTGCATTACGTGGGACTTCAATTGTGGTAAAAGAGATCTCAGTAGTATCCACCTCAGCCTCTCTCCCCACGCCCTTCGTGTTCCGGTGAGAAGATGTAGTCGAGCCAACCGGAGAACAGGCGTAGGCATAGTGGCTAACTGGGTATAAAACATTTTTCTAGACGTGGCATGCACGTGCTAAATTCCGGAATCCACACTATCTAGTCTCCGTTCACTCGCGTCTGGGGTTGCCAGGGATGTGGGAGGCATCGGAACCGGACTCTCAACCCCGAGCATCTGGTTATATCTCCAGTTAGCTGCCTCCAAGACATCCGCGAGCGTTGAGAACTCGATTGGCTTATTACGTTGATGGAAGGTATCTTAGCTAAATCAACCTGACTCTTACCTTTCCCGCCGTGAACTAATGTCAAGTCATAACATAAAGTTCCCGTCTCGCCTACCGTAGGTGTTTTAGTCCACCCTGATTGATTATCGTTGCCCGTTTTGGGCAGCTGCGTTGCACGTAGGAACGCACAGCCCATGTATAAATCGCTGGCAGCCTGTTGACTGTCAACGCGGCTATTCCGCCTTGGCTTCAGCCAAAATATCCCTATTAAATTTCAGTCTGAGTTTGTAATTCTCAAGTAGACTGACTTACGCCAAGTTAGCGATTAACTTCTGAGGAAATGAAAAATCCGCGACGTTTTTCCCTTTTGGAAGTTTGGCAAGATGCGGTTTGGTGGCCCCAACCGATGGAACAATACTGTTGGGGTTGGGGTCAGGGGTTATGGTTAAGGATTCGGGGCTAGGGTTAGATGTTACAGGTTAGGGTTAGGGCTAGGGGTTAATGCGACTACTTCGCAACCATTGTAAGTACAACGGCGCACTCCCAGTGGCTTTTCTTTTGCATACAACTACTTGACCTCATCGCCTGTGCGTTCCCCGGCCCCACCTGTAAAAGCCCCTATTACCACCGGTCCCGTATTAGAGGTGACTAGGGTTTGTTTACTCTAGGTGGGGCTATAAAACCACATCCGACCGGAAGTTTAGTTCGTCCTTTTGGTGGCACTGACTCTTGTGGACGTCCAAACTGGACATGATAACAGGAACCGCCTGCAACATGAGTGACTTTAAGCCAGCTTCCAGTGAAATTGGGGTTAAGTTTAAGTTACGGATTATGTTTAAGGTTAGATTTAAAGTTACCGTTAACGTAACCTAGGATCAAATGTAGGGTTAAGGTAGGGGTTGGTGTTAACTGGAGAGTTAAGGCTTAGGGTAGGGTCACGGTCAAAATTAGGGCAACGGTTTCACTTTATACTAGGGCTAACGTTGGGGTTAGGACACGGGAGTATTTTGCCCTTTCTAGAATCATGCGCATGGGTGGGATGTCCGTATTCCCATGCCCTGTTTAGACGTCCACATTAGTCAGTTCCGCAGTCCCCTTTCCACCTCATTTCCCTATGTCGAGGAGGGGGACGGGGAGAGCGGACGGCGACAGATTCGCCCGGACCGTTCAACCGTCGCAAGCGATGAGGTCAACCGCGTGTCTCATGTATTTCACGTAGCGCAGGTGGTTCACGCAGCATAGGCCACACGCACTCCTTCCTAACCAACCCTGCTCTGGTGGCAAGACACAGTCAAGACGACCAAAGGGGGGCGTGGGCGCTCGAGCTGACAAATCTGAATGGCCAGTTTACGCGTGCCACACACAACACAAACCAGGCTCCTGTAAGGTCGACTTGAATTTCAAGTGTGTGGGATGGACATGAAGGCCATTTCGTCCCGACTGTCAGTTTGGAGTAGGACCGAGTTATCCTGTCAGTGGACAACCTCCCAATCCGCGACTCTTAGCGCGTCGGGGCAGATTCATGCACGTCAGATTTGTTATTTGAGTAATATGGTGATCTGCCGTGAAGATGGATTTCACAGTGCCGTCGTTACCCTATCCTCTTCTATGCACCAGTCAACTGTCAACCCGATAGTTTGACCATCCATTTAGACGATGTCCACCCTGTGCTCCACAGCGGGGTGGGAGCGGGAACGGTGACTTGTGCGAAAATTTATTTTATAGAGATAGTAGACTTGCACAGCGTCTACCGCACTCTCTCCTCCTCCCTCACCTGGGCCCAGAGTCAGGAAGACCGGAGGCGGGGAGGGCGCAGGCGAATGGCACGGTCGAGCCCGCACCTTGGCGTTCCACTCCACACCCCCTGGTCCACACAGCAAATAACCAGGTTTTGATTAACAACAACAACAATGTGGAGGGAATGTCAGGGTCCCGGCGTGCGCGACGTAGGCCGGCAACCAGCTCTGCCACAGCACCCCGAAAATGTTGGCATTTGTTGTGGTCCGCAAATCCGATAACGCCTGCCAGAATCCAATATGGCCCCCGTATTGGTCCAGCGCATCTACCACGTGGCTCGTTTGGGGGAAACGACTGTCAACATCATCCATTTGTGAAAGTCTAATCCTTGTACTCCTTTTTGCACTTACTCAGTGGCCGTCTGTCCACTTCTCCTCCTCCTACCTTGCCCAAATTTTACTGTCTTCCTCTCGGCTTCCTGGCTTCGCCTGACGCATTTCTACCTATTTTCTCTGTTTGTAGGCTCAATATGTTTTTCAAACAGAACCAGATGAAGACAGGGTCGACCGAATCAACGCATTTGGACAAACTTACAGCCTTTTTTCATATCTAACCTACCGACAGAGTCATATTCACTTCATTTTTTGAATTTTATTAAAAGCAGATTTTTCATGACATCCGAATACTTCACCTGCCCGTTATATGCCTGCATTTACAGTTTTTCGCTCAAATATAGATTTACGCCACCAGCTACACGTCTTCTGCGGTTCGCGCGCTGCCTGTTTGCTTTGACCGAAAGTTGTGAACCACTGACTGACACCGATTAACAGGCCTTCTACCATAAGGATTAGCGTCGGTAAGGCTGCAGTACTGCCTATTAGCATGGTCTCCGGTAAATTCATACACCGTTGCGTATTGACTTCCTTACTTTTAAAAATACGTCGGACTTGTCAGACTACTATCTAGGTAGAGCATATTTCTCCGGCGTTCCTCGATGTTCATGCAGTCAGTACTGTTTTTGTGAGTAAGAGTCTGCAAAAGTTTCGTCCTCGGTTGCAGTTCACAACGTGGCCATAAGCCAGTCCTGGCCGTACAGTACTCACACTTTCAAGCCTGACGATACCTTCCAATTGCAGCACACCAATTCTCCTTGGAAGTTGACGGTTGGACCGAGCGAACATGTCTGTCTAGTTGATCGTAATTTAGGCACCTGCCCGCAAGTGCTGTCAGCGAACGTGAGTACCAACTAGGGCCGGCGCACGCATTGTGTTTTTAAATACGCATGAATTACCACAGTTCACGTTTGCTGATTTATCCGGCACTTTTAAGTACGGAATTCCCTTGGCGTCGCAAACTGGGAATTAAGGGTTTCTCTTCAGATAATTGTATTCTTTTCGCCAGCGATATTGACGCATAGTTTAGAAGTCATGATGCAACGGTGTATGAATTAGCCATTAGGTCCCATTTTTGTCAGGGCTGCAAATGCCACATAATGAATTCTTTCAAAGTATGCAATGAATGCAGTCAGTGTTTCATGAGTTTCTGTGCGTATTGCTGCTTGCATGTTTGTGCCTATGCGTGCGCCCCTGGTCCTCCCCTTCCCTTTTACTCGTGAGTTTTAACCCATTACTTTGCTGTGTGTTATGAAAAAAGACCCCGTCGTCTCCACGATCCCCAGTCATCCGCACCGAAGCCTGGTACATGCGGTGAGGTCCAGGTCGTGTGTAGCAAGCGTAATCCGGCTGTTTAGCTACGTCAGCCACCGCTTTCAAGCCTGCCTCCGATCTTTTTGATACTGTCTTGCCATTGAACAAAGTGGGTGGGTGAGAGAGAGAGAGAGAGAGAGAGAGAGAGAATGGAGTGCGGTCGGCGCTGCACAAGTCTGCCTCATTACAAACTGACTCACTTAGAATTCGTCGCTGCTGCGCCCCCTTCGTGGGGCTGTCGGTGTGCGTCGTCGCCCGCGACGGCCGAACAGTCAAGACAGGTGTCTCCCCTCGTACATTCGTACATCGATGGACCTCTCTGTCTCTCCGCAGTAAATTATCCCACAGCTACTGCAGCGTACTTCGTAAATTTTTATCCTATTTGAATTGACAACCCTGTCCTCAGAGTGTACATGCTGGGTGCACAGTGTTGTGTGTTTGTGCATCATGGCATCTGAGACGTTTTCATTTGCCTTTCAGGTGCACTCCTTCAGAAACCACTGGTTTTTAAACGAGGTCTTCGGATCATGGCTTCTCAGTTTCGATCCGAAAGTAGATTTGAATGTTTGAGCTGAAATTTGTCAGCTTCAGCGAAATATCCGTGAAGTATGCAGTCTATATATCGACAGTCTCTAAAATATAAACACTGATTTCATTTGTAATGAAAACGCGATTCCCGGATGACATGTCAAAGGGAGAAGGAGCGTTCATCTGGTGAGGTTTACTTAAGGTCTGACATTTCGAGTAGCGATTTCCGTTTCCCATCTTCAGATATTCCTGTGCATATGGCGTGTCTTGTCTGATGTGTAGATCAACAATTTCGACTGTGATGAGGGAGGGGGTGACTTGGACCCCCGTTTCTCTGTGACCTGTCTCACCCCGCCTTCGTCAATCGCGTCGGCAAATGACGGCCCCGATTTTTAAACACCTCCGTTGTCTCCCATCAAGGAGATTCGTAAAACCAGATAAGGGGAAACAAGTTTATTTGGCGGGTAACTGAGGCGTCGGTGGATATCCGGACTTCCTGCACCTGCGCCGATGCGTGATCATCGCGTCGATCTGCGACGTCAAAGTTGAAGATTGGTCCTATCTGCGCGGCATCGGTTGCTACCCCCACCATCATCCTCGACGGAGGACATACTTCCGTCCCTGGATTTT